CGCGGCCCGGCAGGGCCCGGGCGGGGGGGGGCCGCTGCCACGGGGGGGTGTGGGGTCCCACCCCAGCCAGGCCCATCCCTGCCCTGCATCAGGGAGTGGGGTGGGGGACCCGTCCCTGGGCTGCCGGTGGGGTGCACTGGGGTGGAGACCCCCCGAACTCATGACACGTGTGAGCTGCACCCTGAGGCGGCATGGCCCTGCCTGGCCCCTTGCAGGGGATTTTGGGAGGGACATGACTGGGTGCACCCACCCATGTGCGCACGGCACCCTGGAGCAATAATCCCCCCCCCCCCCCCCCCCCCCTTCCGGGCACAGGGTGGGCACAGAGCCGGGCACCGGGATGATGCCCACACCCCCGGGGCGGTGGCCGCTGTCCTGCTGGGACGGTGCCCACAAACCTGCCAGCAAGGTGCCAGCTACTCTGCTGGGCCGGCACCTGTGACCTTACTGGGGTGGTGCCCAGGACCCGCCAGGATGGTGCCCATGACCCACCAGGATGGGTCCCACCCCCCAGCCAGGATGGTGCCCATGACCCACCAGGGTGGGTCCCACCACCCTGCTGAGATGGTGCCCCCCACCCCATCCACAGGGCATGCTGGGGGGTGTGTGCCACACCCATTGTCATGTGGGGTGCCCGCACCCACGCGTCACCCATGTCCCCGCAGAGGTGCTGCTGAAGGTGCAGGTGTACGAGAGCGGGACGCTGGCCCCGCTGGCCCAGGCCACCCTGGAGGTCTTCGGCAACCGCAGCTCGCTGGCGGCCGGCACCACCGACCACGAGGGCGCCGGCGTCCTGCCCGTCCCCTACCGCCTGGGCACCTGGGTCCTCGTCACCGCCGCCCGCCGCGGCTACGTCACCGCCTCCGTCCCCTGGCGCGTCAACAAGCTGCCGCGTGAGTGACGGAGACCCCGACCAGGGGGCTCTGAGCTCTTATGGGGGACCCCAACCCCTTACTGGGGGGGCTCTGAACACTTATGGGGGCCCCAAGCCCTTACAGGTGGCTCTGAATCCCTATGGGGGACCCCAACCCCTTACTGGGGGGCTTTAAGCCCTTATGGGGGGCCCTGAGTCTTCACTGTGGGAGTTGGTT